AGAGAGAGAGAGAGAGGGAGGGAGAGTGTGTGTGTGTGTGTGTTTGAAGTATCCACTCATGTAAGAACTTTCAGATCATATTATTTTTCCCTTTGGCTTGCCCTTATTTGTTCTCAACCTGCTTCATCATGTGAACCGAATATCACCTTTAAATTTCACACTCTATTAGTAGAGAACTCTAAACGTTGAGAATAAACACATGAGTTTTACTCAAGTTCACATACCAATATACTTTATTTGAAAATCTAAAAAGTTAGATAATGACCTGAGGACGATTATTGCCGATGCACTCTCATGTTTACTGCCTTAAGTTAAACTGAACCAGGCCATAGTAACATAGAGCCAAAACAGCAAGTGCTGTCTTGGAAAGGACCAGTTTGTGGATAAAGATAGTGAACATAAGTACATGGAGTTTCTAACCTTGTAGATGGTCTTGTAGGGTTCCCTGAGCCATATATTCGTATACAAGTGCCAGATAGTCTCCATCATTGCAGTAGCCAACCATAGAAACTAAAGTCCGGTGATGAACCCTTGTCAGGTGCTGGGCCTGCAAAAAGAAAATCCACAATTGTTTTGAAGCTTGGCAACACCAAAATCCAAATAACAACCACAGAATGGAGGCACAAAAGACAAGGGTGAACATTCTCTGGTATCTAAGTAATCATGGATATAACATTATTGTTCAAGAATGCTACTTGATTCACGAACGAATTTAACATTATGGTTTCCAAAAATAAAAGTATTACTTATTTTCCAAAAAGTAACATATACTACTTGATTCACGAATGAATTTCCAGCGAAAAAATTCAAAGCTTTATTTTTCTTTTTGAGCAGCCGATTGCTGTATTCAATCACACAAAATCCACCTAAGATTACAAATGCCTAATTGTTAAGAACCAAATACCTCAGCAAGAAACTGGTCAGTCCCTTGTGATGATGCTTGGGATCGCATCTTGACTGCAACTTCAGTCCCATCTTCCAAACAACCATAGAAGACAGTGCCAAATCCTCCTTTGCCTAGGACCTTTTGAAAATTATTAGTTATGTTCTTTAACTCCATGTATGTGAATTGTCGGTTCTCAAGTTGCAATGGATCATGACGATGGTCCTTTACTTGGTTGGAGAAAACTTCATTCTGTGGCTTCACAGAGGTACCTTTTCTCGAGCCTTTCAAGTTAAGCATCACAACATCAAATGCAGGTTCAGAAATTGGATCAGAAGATAATGTTCTTTTAATTATAACCATATCTGAGTTAAACTTGCTCGTCACAATTGCAAGAGTTTTGTTATAAGAAAGCTTACCTTGTCGCTTCAGCCTGCAGATTATGAGTATCACCATGAGCACTATTGTAACAGGAACTATACAAAGAATAACAATTACAGGTGTCGTTATCTTCTTCTTTTTCGATGATGGCGTCACCTTGCATGAAGTTCCATTCTCACAAAGATATGGATTTCCCTCAATTCTGGCATGAGATTTAAACATTGTTACTGTTTTATAATATAAACGGCATTAAGGGGAGAAAAAAAGGACCAAAGCTGAAAAGGAGGAAACAGTGATGGAAGCATAAAAGAAACTATTTTGTTGCTATTATAGTTCTAAAAGAGAATAACAACCTTTTGAAAGTTTGACATTCTTGTAAGCAGTAAAAAATAGAAGAATCCAACAAATTTTTTTTTCTTTTATTTTTGTAATCATGCTAAGCAAATTTTAGATTTCGTATTTGTTGTTAAAAGGTGAAGGTACTGAATTTCCTAGTCATCTTTGTCCTTATAAATACTTATGTAATTACTTTAATGAAATTTTTTACAGTGCTTGCAGGGTCCTACTTGGAGTTATATTAGCAATCGAAAACCTATTAATGGTATGATTAGAGAAAATTGTGTATCTATTGAGACTTGAATTTGGAGAGCTGGAGGTCTAATATTTTAGTTACGGTGTTGGGTAGCAATATGACATTTCCAAGAAATAGTTGTCCCATAAGTTCGCCTTATTATAGAATTATGTCTAAGAAGTCCATAAATAAAAGGCCACAGTCCTTAATTGCTTTAGAGAACAATTTTGGAATTTTGTAAATATGGTTTGGTCATAATAGTCTGATTACCCCCTAACTTGATCAAACAAGTCAAAATAGCCTGAAACCATTGTTACAGCCCAGAACCCTAATAGTTCCTGGAAGCACACCCGACTCAAGGGCTAGGAAACTTGGCACCATTAAGTGCTTAATATGATATCAGCAAAAGGACATTGTATTTATATTTTTGGTCCACATGAGGTTTACATCTATGTTGGCAATCTAAAGCTACCTCTTTCTGTGTGTGACTAAATACATTAAACATATAGAATTCTTCAGGAAAGTAAGATCTTTTAAACCTGAGCTTGAAATTCCGTTAAACCCACATTCCAACCTTAATTTCTTAGTATAACCATTCATCCTTCACCGATTTGAGAGTGATCCTCAGACTTATTAGTGCAAGACTCCATCCTTCACCAATTTAAGAGTTTTTCTAATAATCCTGGACCCATTTAAGATCAACATTCCATAGGATAAGACACCTACCACCTTTATATGTCAAAGTATTACTCTAGTTATAACACCTAACTGCCAATAATATTCCTTGTCTAGAGCTTTTTAAACATCAAAATTAGTTCTTTGAGATTACATATTATTAAAAAAACAATTGGAAGAATCTATAATTTTAGAACAGCACAAACCTTAAGGTAAGAAATCCATTTTGTGATCTCTCAAGGAGGGCAGAAGGAATCGATCCATTTAACTGGTTCCTCGTCAGATCTCTGCAAAAAGGCATTAGATCTTAAACCATTAAGTTACATTTATGTTTTTAAAACAAAAACAACATTAATGAAAATACTTACAGGAGTTTGAGGGAAGTTAATTCCGCTAGAACAGCAGGTATTGTCCCTGTTAAGTTGTTGTAAGACAAGTCCCTGAAGAATGTCATAAACAACTATTACCATTCCAAAAATCTAGCAGTTATTGCCATTTCTTTGAGTTTAACTTCACTGAACTCAAGGGCCCCTGACATTATTAACTAAAGTTACAACCTTATGTAACAAATTTCAGAGCCTGGATCAAAGGCATTTAGAAGAGATCCAGATCACTGAAAAAATAAGCCATACTAGGTATGGATGGTCAAAGCTTCAATATGGTATCTGAATTCTGATGATTCTTGGATAAGCCCACAATATATCGGTGGATATGTTTTTATTATTAGAAGGTCCACATGTGGGTTTGTTTATGCAGGTTTCTCCTGCTGAAAGAATGTGTCTGTTTTCACGACGGAGGCAACTGCTCTTATAGATAATCTCTTATGGGCCTCACAGGATATCACACGTCTAATTGTAAGCATGGGTTCCAATTGTTGCTTTAAATAATAACATTGTTGAGTGCATAACAAGTCTTGTGAATCATGAGGCTAATCAGGCAGCTAATTGATTAGCCTTGCTTGTAGACCAGGTGCTGATCATCAGTGGAAATCTCATGTGGCGGAAGTGTTATCTTCTTTGTGAGAACATTTATGGTTATTGTACTATGCAATCAGTCTGGTGATAAATGCCTTATTTTTAAAAAAAAATTGTGGTTCTGGGTTCTCGAGATACACATACAATATATCAAATTTGAGGAAGGTTAATGATGGACTTGGCAATACAAAGACAAAACACATAGCAGAAGGCATATATTTTGCTTTAACATACTGATGCTTTAATTTCATCAGAATAGTTTTTCTCGAGTTCTTTTGTTCATGTATGAGATTCCAAAAATGTGCATCATTTAGGACAGATGCTTGGCCTTTCAACGACACTCAGCATTGGCCCCAACAAAGACTAATGACTGTTTACTGTGCTCAAATGTCTATGCCAAGGCAAAAAAGAAATTAGCTTGAAAACAGTAGCCTTACAGATATTCAATTGCACCAAGGCTGGCAAAAGACTTGGTTATTTCACCAGTCAATCCACTTGTTGATAGGTTCCTGCAAAATATTTAAACTAGTAAGGTAATTGCATTATTTTTGTATTGACACATTTTGATAATGAATCATCTGCAGTTTAATTTCAATGCAATTCTCTTTTAAAGAACTCACAAAGTAGTGATCCTTGGAGGAATTGAGACGCTAAAAGTACAGTTTAGTCCATCCCAACTAAATGCCGTCGGAGTACATGGATCTCCCATCCAATTTCTCTTAATCTTATACCATGCCTTGATTGCCATCATGGCATTAACTGATATTGCAATCAAATCCAAAGAGAATTTAACAACGTAAGTTAATGTCATTGCTTAAAAGCTGTATAATGCAAATTGAAAAAAAAAAACAAACTTCTGACATGTCACCGAAGTGCGTGTAACTTACCAAAAAAGAATCAAACGAAATGCTAAGGCAATTTGTAAACAACAAACTCTAACAAAATCATATCACTACAATCCATCGTATCACTTATCCCTGTGCTGATCCATCTTCCATCATGGATACCTCCCAAGCCTAACCAAAATTATTGCAGTTTATAAACATCCAGCATCAATTTATATTTATCCTGTTCCAATTACACTTGATTGGGATTTCTAAATGAATAGCTTTTTTTTTGGGTTCTATTCCAATCAGAAAGTATAGTTTCAAAAGACATATACGAAAAAGAAAAAAAAAATCCTTTATTTCAACACTCTAATTTTGAGGATTCAAACCTGTGCTAGGGTTCAGTGACACCACCCCTACTTTTAAGATCCAAAGATAGTGGTCGTCTTTGCACTCAAGCAAAATATGTTGTGACCATTTTGAGGCTACAGGCTTTAGACACACACTCACGAAGAAAGGGTAGAATCTTGAGTTGGAGCTCGTTTTCCTTCCCATCATGCCATGCTCGCTCTCCAGGGACATTACATCAAACAGTTTATGAACATAAACGAAGGGAGAAAAGTCTCGTCGTACCATCGCCATCATTCGACGGCACGTTGGCGTTACTCAAGGTCGAGAAGATTTCCAAGGCGTTGAGGATGGGCGGAAGGGTGGAGTTGCTCAGCGCCACAAGAGTGATGTTGTAGGAAAGGAACTGGCCGAGGGGGTGGATGCTGTACACGGCGTCGGAGAAGAGGTAGTCCGGGGTCATGGGGTTTCCCAGCCACTGGATCCCATTGACGTAGACGTAGAACTGCCGCGAGACGTTGGTCCCGGAGAGTTTGAGGAAATCGGAGATGTGCAAGATGGGGAAGTACTGGTTGACGTCGCCGGGATAGGGATCCCAGGAGAGGAGCAGCGTGGTGGAGTTGACGGGGGTGACGGCGGTCTGCATGACGGCAGAGGGGGCCTCGAAGTAGTCCTCCGAGAGATTCTCGACAGTGGAAGTGGTGGAGATGTCGGTCCATATGGGCAAGCTCCACGGCTCCCAGAGGCGGTCGTGGCGATCGTCCGGGTACCTGCCGACGGTCGTGACCAGAAAACATTGTTCTCAGTGAACGGTTCAAGAGTGGAACCGAGCCGGTTATCGCTGGAAATGTTTGTTTCGTTTTTGTTTTTGTTTTTTGTTTTTGCTTTCGGAATGAATAAGTGAGATTAAAAAGAAAACTGAGCCACGCACATCAAATTAATATTTTGCATATAAAATTTATACCATTAGATTTCGAACCACAAATTATTATGTGACTAATATTTTAATATGAACCTTATAAAGTAAGATTTTAATCTCTCAAGTATATCACAATTTAATTTAGACAATCATGAGAGATCAGAAATCTGAATCCGGCTACAAATGGTAGATAAATAAATTTATAAATAATAAGAGAGAGATAAAAATTATAGACATCCATTGGTCTATTCAAAATATTAGTATGTCGTCGAACCCATTTATCAAAGATTGAATGTTCAATATATCATCAAATAATTTTTTTCAGGATGTTAACTAATTTGGTCGAATCATTTTATTATTGATAACAGTCTAAAATTCGTCTTCTCTGCTTATTCTTAAATATATATATATATATATATATATATATAATTAATTAAAAATAAAAGTATTTGGGATGGGCTTATGAGATTTTTTGTTATTAAATTTTAGAGTTATCAATATTAAATAAAAAAAGTCAAATCCTATTATTTCAATAAATTTTAGAGTTTGTACTTCACAACTAATTTTCTTCCAATAACTTCATACCTAAATTATACCTTCATATTATTTCAAGGTTAGTTATATATTACCCCTTATATTTGAACTCTATATGCAAAAAAATTATATTGGGATCCCTATAATTCTGAAAGTAAAATAAATAATTTTATTTATCCTAACGTCATCAACTATATTAACAGAAAACATAATACATGACACCATATATCGGATCGGTATGAAATTAATAGGCAAAAAAAAATTTTAATCTCCCTTTTGTTTTCAGCATGTCGATAAAGTCATTAGAAACAAAATGAATATTAAAATTATATTTTTGTACACAAGGGTTATTTATTTTATTTTTAGAATTATAATATTTTTAATGCTAATTTTTTAAGTATCCATGATATTTTGAATTTAAGTAGGTAAGGTCATGAGGACTAATATATAATTCAAATTAAATTATAATTTTTTAAGTACGGCTTGATAAGCATGATGATATGCTGGTAAAGACTCAAAAAGCTTGGAAAAAATATATTTGCCCGTATCGGATTAATCGTAATAGTGATCCATTTTGTAACATTAATATAAAAGAAGGATATGAAGTTCTTCAAAGATTGCAGTTAGCATATGGAGCAGAGCATGTTTGCTGGAACAGAGTATTTACCTGACATAGGTACCCTTGTGTCCCATGTTAAGCCGCTTGAAGAGGACCAGACTGCGAGAGGCGTTCACGGCCGGGTAAAGCATGTCCTTCAATGGCCTCACGTCCAGCCCCGATATGAACGGAGTCCCATGCCCGGTGTTCAGCAGGCACACCGAGAAGACATCAGATGAGGCCACCGTGATGACCTCGTTGGTATACGTTTGGTCGGGGCCGGTGATGTTCATGTTCGCCCAGAGATTGACGCCCAGGTAGAGATCGAACAGCAGTGGCTGCGTGTTCATGCCGTCGTAGTTCCCGTACATAAACCACGCTCGCACAAGATACTTGGAGCCCTTGGTGATGGACGTGATCCTGTAGCAGTTGCGAGTCCCGCTGGGAAAGCTTCTCAGGCTCAGCCATCGTCTTGCCATGCCGTTCGTCACGTATGCCCCGGAGATGTTATGGTTTTCTCCGGTGTCGATGAATCCGGTGTCAGAAACGTAGGTTATGTTGCTCTTCGGGTCGATGTAGGTGGTGCCAGGGGCTATACCGTTGTCGATGCTTATGAAACCTGGAAAGCAAGACTAGATTACTACGACAAGATGATCCAAGATGAGTTTGTCAACCTCAGCTTGATCAGCAGAAATCTAATGGAAAGATGACTAGTTTGGCATCTCGAAGATATATATACAGAGCTCCTTACCGAGAGCGTCTGTGGACTGACAGTGAACGGGAAGAACGGCCATGGCGAGGCCCAGGAGGACGAAGCACCAGACAGAGGCCATCTTCCCCGAGCTGAAGCAGCATTCCATTGTCACGCCCATCGCCGCTGCTACCTTCAGAGTACAACAGAGGAAGAGGAAGCCACCTTAAACCACTTGTTAGCACGAAAATATTTCGTGATCACCTCAATTATCTGCATGACCTCGAACAGGACACACCTATTCACACGTACCAACGATTGGCACGTGGCACATCCAAGCAAAGAAGATCCCGGATTAGCAGGTAGCTTGCTCTTAAAGTGTACCTTGCCGTGGAGCAGAGAGCAGAGCGTGGCCGTGGCGCCCCACTCGCTTCCATGGACGACTTCCGGTGAGTCAATGCGTTTGGTGAGTCTTCGGGATCCATTACATGCAGCTGCACATGGGTGGGGGGGGTCATTGACTTTGACTTAGCGCACTCTTCCGTTTGCTTGGAAACCAGCTGAAGTTTTTAGTGACTTCGCCATTGATCCGAAATGATCGACACGGTTTTGTTTGCTATCGGAGGTGAAGGATAAGACGTCCTCATCGTCGCCGAAATCATTGAATCAACTACGAGCCATACACAATGAGAATGAGGAAGGAATCCGCACACAAACACAAAAGTCAGCGAGATTTTTCAAGAACAGATAATTCTTTTCGGCCTGTGTAAAAGAACTAATAATTCAGCAGACTGTATACGAAGCAGAGGAAGACTATGTGTTGTTCTTTGGTCATACTAATCGTGATGGGTTTCGCAAACTGCGTGTGAGATGACTGCCGCTTGGTGTTCTGTGAAGGCGATTGTCAAGGGGAAGGCACATGGAACAGCTCAATTATGTTCAGGTCGAGATCTCCACCTATACATTGCTTCTCGTGTTGTTTCTGTAAGTATCGATATCCCTAATGGTCAGCTCAGCGGAATGAGAAATGACATATCTTATGATCCACTAGATGTAGTTTAGGTTCGAGTGCGATAGAAAAAAAGTCAAAATCGGAGGCATGAAGCAACATTGATTGTCGATCAAGAGAGTACTTCTTGGTAGATTTGTAGAAATCACAACACTAACTTCTGCAGTTCCAAGCTCGCCTTTAGCTGCATCACCACGTCTGCCCCAGTTCTGCATCAATCGGCATACTTCCTGACTGAGTTCACGTCCGACTCCCCATGGAGCAACATCGTCCTCGAAATCGCGTCAATCTCACGTAGTTCAGTGGGTTTACAAGAGGCTTGCTGTAGGGAATATCGAGGATGTTATGCCTGCGAGGTGAACACGACGTGGATTCTTATCGGAAACTCTGCCTACGGAGCGCTGACTTCTGCCATGCAATACTCCTCCAAGAGGGCTACAATGACCGAGGTGGTGATGACGAACACTGCAGAGTGCGCATGACAAAACCCAATTGATGCAAGCATACAAAAAGTAGAATCTACATAGAGAACATAGCGACATATGGCAGATTTGGTGCATTCGACGTGGAATACGAAAGCATTTCCGAGAAAAGAAGATGATATTGGTGTCACTCCGGTCTTTTTTGTTACATGATATCCGTGGATGCTTACAATTTTGTTGGTAAATTTGATAGGAATTTGGAAGGTTTGTGTCTCTGTTTGTGTTACTTTGTGGGAGACTAGTAGTACTCGATGCTTTTTTGTTTTTTCCAATAAGATTGATAGCATTATGAATGAAATGATCCGAGCACTACTTGCATAGCTAAGAAATCTAATTATAATATGAAGAATATCATAATAAGTTCTATGATCATCCACCTGATCGCTAGTCAACCAATGAGCTCTTCCATGTACCTACCTCATTCTCTTCTAGACGTTGACTTCTGGCTTTCATGAGCTAAGAAACCACCACCACCACCCTCCAATTCTTGCCCACAAAGAGGTGCAATTTGAGACGTAGTTTGCTCATCAAGTGGCTGGTGCTGGTAAACGAGAACAGCCGACGCTGCTCGCAGAGACGATGACCAGATGAGTTCGTTCAAAGGGTATGATATTTATCACCATCGATTTATAGTAGAATACTCATCAAATATTGATTTAAAATATTTAAATTTAATAGTAGAACACTTATCAAATATTAAGTGGGGGGAGATTTAAGTTCCTTATGCTACTATCATGTCAAAACGGGAGTACTGCTATAAAGGCTTGATGAGTAAACTATTAGTAGTCTTAATCATCTTGGCTAAATAGTCCAATTTGTTAAGAGTTAGTCATTAGATCGACGACTTTGATTATGACGAATAATACTAGTACTAGACATGCTCAGATGCTAAATAGAGTGGATTATTATTGGACAATACCTCATATGCACCTTTGGTTTTGAGCTTAATGGAGAAGTATTTAAACTTATCTATATGGACGTGACGTGATGAATGATGATGAGTGTCTTATTATTATCTTACAACGGATAAATCAGTCATTCATTAGGAGTTGCTTATATTTTGGAAATTGGGAAACGACTAATTCTTTCTGTTGATAACAACTGAGGTTGAATTAGTCTCAGCAATCTAGTCCTTGGATTTTGTCAAGATGATGTAGTTTGCTGATCTATTTCTTTGTTACTAAAACTTGGCCTTCCAAACTAAACAAAAGATGAAGCTTTAATAAACGTTATCATGTTATCTTCGTAGTTTGACTTTTTGAGCCTTTAATTGCCGATGGTATGTTCGGTCTCATCTGTATATTCCAGCATTGTTTTCTTGTACTGTCTTGGATGTATGTCTTGAAGCAGGATGTATCTCTTACTTTATTCATATACACATAGCAAAATGTGGATCATTTGTTGAGTCCAGTCCTCTGACGTTGTCCCGGAAAGCCTTCCTGCGCAGGAAGAAGGTGTAATGACCATCAGTATGAGACGCTTCAACTCGAGGAAGATGACACTGATCTGGTCCTTCGTTCTTCTGTGCTTCATCGTGGCTGCCGTTCAAGTTCGAGCACAGACGACAAGCAATCATGGTAATCTCATACTTCCCATCTCAGAGTTAAAGCACTCGATCTGTTATTCTTCCCAATTCGATGCAGGTTTCATTAACATCGACTGTGGGATCCCGGAAAACTCTTCCTACCTCGATCAATCCCTCGGCATAACATACGTCTCCGACGCTCAGTTTATAGACACTGGCGTTAACCACGACGTCTTGCCGGCGTACGTCTCTGATCTCGCTCAACGTTATCTGACAGTGCGAAGCTTTCCTGATGGACTTCGCAATTGCTACACTTTCAAGTCGATGACCCCGGGGTTGAAGTACCTCATCAGAGCCACGTTCTTGTATGGGAACTACGACTTCAAAAACAGTCTTTCGATTCAATTTGACCTCTACCTCGGAGTCAACCTCTGGAAGACGATAACCCTGACAGATCCATCGAGTTACTTCTTGACAGAAGCTATTACTGAAGCCACGGCGGATTTCATATCAGTGTGCCTGGTGAACACCGGTCGTGGGACTCCTTTCATATCGGGGTTGGATCTGCGACCCATGGTGGCGTCTCTTTATCCGTTGGTCAACGCCTCTCGCAGTCTGGTTCTTTTGGATCGCTTCAACATGGCGCCAACCGGTATCTCTATCAGGTGAGAATTTTGAGTTGAGATGTATGTTCCGAGTTTTCTTCTCCATATACTGTTGTTTGAATGGAATTAATAGGTATCCATTGGACCCGTATGATCGTTATTGGTTCCAATATACGACCCAACCTTCCTGGAATGAGATATCTACCAACTCCATCGTGGAATATGGTGTGAATGATCACTTTGAGATACCTTCGAAGGTGATGCAGACTGCAGTTTACCCTGTGAACTCCACCAAACTGGAGCTCAGTTTCACACCGGATTCTGGAGACCTCAATGAATTCTTCGCCGTCATGTACTTCGCCGAGCTGCAGCAGAATGCCTCGAGGCAGTTCTCCGTCTCCCTCAACGGAGCCCTGTTGAATGACGCCAATCCTTTCACTCCGGATTTCCTCACTTCCGACGCCATATATAACATCAATCCTAGCGCGGGATACGGTGACCTAAACATCTCTCTGGTTGCGACACAGAGATCCACACTTCCTCCCCTCCTCAACGCCGTGGAGGTCTTCTCGACGATGAGAAACACGAACGTGGCGACGGATGGCGGAGATGGTAATCTATACCTTCCTCCCCTCCTTATTGTAGTTGTTTCCCTAACAGACGTTGCTTTACCTCGTTGACTGCATCAGTTGATGCTATGATGGCGATCAAAGGGTTCTATCAGGTGAAGAAAAATTGGATGGGCGATCCATGTTCTCCAAAAGCTTATACGTGGGATGGACTAAATTGTGCTCTTAATGCATCTGGTGTTCCAAGGCTCACTACCCTGTGAGTTTTCTTCTCTCGACAAACTCTAATCATCAAGAAATGGCATTGGGAATCAGTTTGATACGATGTTGATTTTGAGTTTTGCAGCAATCTATCATACGGTGGATTGATTGGTGAAATAATCTCGTCTTTTGCCAACCTCACTGCAATACAGTACCTGTGCGTGCTTCTCATCTCAATCTATTATTATTCATCTTGACGAGTAAATAATGGCATAATTTTACAGGGATTTATCTCACAACAACTTAACAGGACAAATACCTGCTGCTCTAGCATATGTTCCATCTCTCAAGCTCCTGTAAGTACTTCTATGTCAGCATCGTGTATCCTTTGAAGAACAGTAAGTCAAACTATGATGACACGACATTATTTGGCTACTTACAGAGACTTGAGAAACAACCAACTCAGTGGACCAATTCCTTCTGCTCTTCGTGAGAAATCAAGGAATAAATCCATTACTTTAAGGTCTGTCCTAATCTTGAAATCTCGGTTTCCCAGTTTCTTTTTACTCCATGATTGAACGCAAAAAATTGGTTTCAGTCAACTCGATTGTCAGTAGAAACCTTGTTCATGTTTAAAGTTGAGAGTGAAATCCTTGTACTGATAGAACTGATGGCAACCCAAACCTCTGTGACGATCCCACTTCATGCGAGTCAAAGCCGACGAGAAGGCAGAAGGGAAAGACCGCAGCTATCGTTATATCTTGTGTGGTTTCCGTGGTGGTACTGTTTGCAGCGGTCATCGTTCTTTGCATGATGAGAAAGAAACAAGGTTAGTCATGTTCTTGCAACTACAAGTTTCATTTAGAGACCTCCATGTGTAACCTGCATCTGATGATACTACGCTAGGTTTGAAATCCTCAGTAAGAGGAACCACTGATAAGCTTCATAACGACGATGAATTGCCACTTGAGAATCGAAAGTTCACATATAGGCAGCTGCAGAGCATCACTGACAACTTTGAGAGAATCATTGGAAAAGGAGGATTTGGGACTGTTTATTATGGCCATCTGGAAGATGATACCGAAGTTGCTGTCAAGATGCTATCCCAGTCATCATCACAAGGAACTAAAGAGTTTATTGCCGAGGTAATCGATTCACGGCTTCTCCAAGCTTAAAATCTATGAAAGGAACCACCGAAAACAAGTTCATATTCCTCCTGACTCTGTTCTCCTCTGTTTTCGTTGACCTACTCGAGTTCAGTCTTATTTGTTTCATGGTACGTCCTTTCCATCCTACTGTCCAGGGGAAAAAGAAGTGACTCGATTGTGTTACAGGCCCAGCATTTGACGAGGGTGCATCACAAGAATCTAGTCTCTATGGTCGGCTACTGCATGGATGGAGATCATTTGGCACTTGTCTACGAGTTCATGTCTCAGGGAACCCTTAAAGACCATATTAGAGGTTCTCAAAGAAAAACTCTACACCTTAGCTATGCTAATCTTGGTTGTAGACATCTTCTGATTTGGTCTTTGGATGAAGCTACAAAGAGGTACTCATCATGACCTTTTAACAGGTATTGGCACTGCTGCACCTTTGAGCTGGGGACAGCGCCTACAGATCGCTCTTGAAGCAGCACTAGGTTGAGCAATGAAACATACAAGTCACTTCATCTCTGTGCACTCACTGGTTTGGTTTGGATGATGTGTAGGACTCGAGTACTTGCACACCGGCTGCAAGCCTCCACTGATTCATAGAGACGTGAAGACCACAAACATCCTCTTGAACGAAAGGCTGGAGGCAAAGATATCAGATTTCGGGCTCTCCAGGACTTTCCATAGTGATGGCCACAGTCATGTCTCCACCAGGATTGTTGGAACCATGGGATACCTCGATCCAGAGTACTTTCACTTTGACTTCTGCTCTTCTAATCCTGTTCTGCTGACATGAACAAGTACAGACGAACAGGAAGATCAAGAAAGAAACTTAGTACAACAAACATCTTCACTGATCATCTTCATACACTGTTTGTCGTTGCACTTGCACTACATATCATCAGCAAGAAGGGAGCTTAACTTGGATGTGGTTTTGCACTTCTGTAGGTACTTTATCAAAAACCGACTTAGCCAGAAGAGCGATGTGTATAGCTTTGGGGTGGTTCTCTTGGAACTGATCACAGGCCAGCCTCCCATAGTATGCATTCCAGAGAGCACTCACGTGGTTGAATGGGTTCGCCGAATGCTTGCGAAAGGGAGCATCGAGGATGTCGTCGACCCGAGTGTGCGGCAGGAGAACGTGGTGAATTCCGCTTGGAAGGTCGCCAATGTAGCACTTGCATGCGCTGCTCATGCTTCTAGCAAGAGGCCGGCAATGACGGATGTGGTGATGCATCTGAAGGAGAGCTTGGCGCTGTACAGTGATGGAGATAAGATCCAATTCGAACGCATCAGCAGCGAGAAGCTGTACATGGAATCTAGTGATACAAGCCAGATTAGTGCGTTTGATGTCCATCAGTTTGGGAATGTTTGGGATAGCAGCGAAGGCCCTTCAGCAAGATGACATTGGTATCGCCACCTCTGTCTTGGGTCATCGTCGCCGTTTGCTTTCACTTCCAGAGGATGATTTGGCTTTTGTACTTCTAAGCTAAGAATGAACACAAACTGAAGGAGAATGCATTTGACTTATGTTTCCTCAAGAATAAACAAACCAGTAAAGTTGCTGAATCATATTACTTTAGAAAGAATGATTCCTAAATTTGGTTTTTATAATGAATATAAGCAGAGAATTGATGAATCATATTAAATCTTATATTAATTTTGTGATATATTATTTATTATTAATTTATTACTAATCAATCAATACATTAATTTTATTATATATATATATATATATGGATTAAGATATATTTGAGGTTTTATGATATCAGTTCCTTATGGTTTACTCGTATATAAAATAATCTTTAAATTTTTAAAAATATAACATTTGAGTTTCTTTCGTCAAGTCAGAGTTAACATATATTAAAATCTAATATGTTGATTTACAATAAATTATTAATATAATTATACATATAATTTAAGTTTTAAAAGAAATTAAGATATATTTAAGCTCATGTAGTTTTGGTTATGGATCACTTAAGCTCTTATGATTTACTCGTATCTAAAATAACTCATATATTTTTAAAAACGTAATAGCCTCTCATGTCAAGTCTGAGTTAACAGATGTTAAAGTTTACTACATATTGACTCATAATAAACTATTAATATAATGATACGTGTAATTTTAAGTTTAAAGAAAAGTTAAGGTCCATCTCGTCAAAAAAGAAAAAGCGATAGAGGCCATAGCGATGAACAAAGGTGGAGAGACAAATGTAAGAGAGGTCGGAGGTAGAGGTGAGAGAGAGTTGGATCATCAGACTATTGTACACTTAGCATCAGAATAGTCGACACACATCCATCTCAGACAGGACCAGAAGCTCTTGAGCTCGTCATCGGTGCGAGAGAGATTGGATGCGTACAACACCTTGCTATGCAATAGTGACTCGGTGTTATTGTTGGTGGTTGTTTTCATGATGATGTTTCCTTCTGCAATTGATGGTGATCTCAGTTTTTTTTAAACTTAAATTATATGTATTATTATATTAATAATTTATTATGATCCAACATATCACGTAAGTATATTTTAACGTCTGTTAATTTAGACTTGACGGGAAGGGCTTATATGTTACGTTATTTAAAATATATAGATTATTTTAGATATGAATAAATTATAAGGGCTTAAGTGATCCATGATCAAAATTACAAGGGTTAAAATGAATCTTTATCTCTTTTTTAATTTTAAATTATACGTGTTATTATATTAATAATTTATTATGCGTTAGCATGTCACATTAAAGATCATAATATTTGTTAGCTCATATGAGAAAAAAAATTTATATATTATATTTTTAAAAATATAAAAATTATTTTAGATACGAGTAAATCATAAAAATTTAAGTTATTCATAACCAAAACCAAACATCTAACCTTAACAAATGCTTTAACATATGTATAATATTTGTTGTTACGTCGAGTAACTCCCAATACTTGTGGTCTTTGAGCACAAAGAAGCCGGATACATTCTCCTCCCGTTTGTGTTCATTCTCGAACCACGCGAAGCACGACCCAAAACAGAGGTGGCGAGACCAGCGTTACCTTGCTGAAGGGCCTTCGCTATCTGAAATGTTCCCAACCTGCTCGATATCAAACTTACTAATCTGGCTTATATCGCCCGAATCAGTGTACATCTTCTCGCTGCTCAAGTGCTGGAAATGGAGCTTAGCTCCGTCACCGTGCAACGCCAAGCTTTCCTTCAGCTGCATCACCACATCACTCATCGTCGGCCTGTTGCTCGACGCATGAGCAGCGCATGCCAGCGCCACATTGGCCACCTTCCAAGCAGAATTCACAACGTTCTCCTGCTGCAGGCTCGGGTCGACCACGTCCTCGATGTTCCCTTTTGCAAGCCTTCGGCGAACCCATTCCACCAGGTGAGTGTTCTCGGGATCATTCACCACCGGAGGTTGCCCTGTGATCAGCTCCAGGAGAACCACCCCAAAGCTATACACATCACTCTTCTGGCTCAGTTGGTTTCTGTTGAAGTACCTAAATAAGAACAATCGTTCCATCGGTTAGGTTTTGCGTTTTGCTTGTGTGCTCATTCATGTCAACAAGAAGCCAAGTGAAATACTTTGGATCGAGGTATCCCATGGTGCCGACGACCCTGGTGGAGACATGACTGTGGCCGTCACTCTGGAAAGTCCTGGAGAGCCCGAAATCTGATATCTTTGCCTCCAGCCTTTCGTTCAAGAGGATGTTTGTGGTCTTCACGTCTCTATGAATCAGTGGAGGCTTGCAGCCGGTGTGCAAGTACTCGAGTCCTACACATCATCCAAACCAAACCAGTGAGTGCACAGACAAGGTTAAAGAAAGCGGCGGCTTTAGAAGTGACTTGTATGTTTCACCGCCCAACCTAGTGCAGCTTCAAGAGCGATCTGTAGGCGCTGTTCCCAGCTCAAAGGTGCAGCAGTGCCAGTACCTGTTAAAAGGTCATGATGAGTACCTCTTTGTAGCTTCATCCAAAGACCGACTCAGAAGATGTCTACAACCAAGATTAACATAGCTAAGGTGTAGAGTTTTTCTTTGAGAACCTCTAATATGGTCTTTAAGGGTTCCCTGAGACATGAACTCGTAGACAAGTGCCAAATGATCTCCATCCATGCAGTAGCCGACCATAGAGACTAGATTCTTGTGATGCACCCTCGTCAAATGCTGGGCCTGTAACACAATCAAGTCACTTTTTTGTCCCCTGGAGAGTAGAATGGAAAGGACGTACCATGAAACAAATAGGACGAACTCGAGTAGGTCAACGAAAACAGAGGAGAACAGAGTAAGGAGGAATATGAACTTGTTTTCGATGGTTCCTTTCATAGATTTTAAAGTTGGAGAAGCCGTGAATCGATTACCTCGGCAAGAAACTCTTTAGTTCCTTGTGATGATGACTGGGATAGCATCTTGACAGCAACTTCGGTATCATCTTCCAGATGGCCATAATAAACAGTCCCAAATCCTCCTTTTCCAATGATTCTCTCAAAGTTGTCAGTGATGCTCTGCAGCTGCCTATATGTGAACTTTCGATTCTCAAGTGGCAATTCATCGTCGTTATGACGCTTATCAGTGGTTCCTCTTGCCGAGGATTTCAAGCCTAGCATAGTATCATCAGATGCAGGTTACACATGGAGGTCTCTAAATGAAACTTGTAGTTGCAAGAACATGACTAACCTTGTTTCTTTCTTAGCATGTAGAGAATGATTACCGCCGCAAAGAGTACCACCACGGAAACCACACAAGATATAACGATAGCTGCGGTCTTTCCCTTCTGCCTTGACGTCGGCTTTGACTCGCAAGAAGCAGGATCGTCACAGAGGTTTGGGTTGCCATCAGTTCTATCATTACAAGGATTTCAAGCTCAGCTTTTCTTGAATGTAAACAATCGCTCAGTTCAACACCGAGCTTCAGATGTGGAAATTTTACTGCAGCTGACATCTCTAAAGCCAAATCGCCATCGCCATTCAGTAAAGTTTTCTTTCTGTATTCTACCTCTATCACCAATCAAGTCGACCCAAATAATCTTTTTGCATTCAATCATGGAGCACAAAGAATCTGGAAAACGGAGATTTCAAGATTAGGACAGACCTTAGTGTAATCGATTTATTCCGTGATCTCTCGAGAAGAGCAGAAGGAATTGATCCATCGAGTTGGTTGTCTGTCAAATCTCTGAAAATATAGCCAAATAACGCTGTGTCATCACAGTTGGACTTACTGTTCTACAAAGGAAACACGATGCCGCCATAGAAATACTTACAAGAGCTTGAGAGATGGTATATATGCCAGAGCAGCAGGTATTGGTCCTGTTAAGTTGTTGTGAGATAAATCCCTGTAAAATTATGCCATTATTTATTTGTCGAGATGATAATAGCTTCAAATCAGAAGCACGTACAAGAACTGAATCGCACTGAGGCTGGCAAAAGAAGGGCTTATTTCACGAATCAATCCTTTGTATGACAGATTGCTGCAAAAACATCATCATATCCGAGTCATTCCATTGTCATTTGTTGATGATTAGAGTTTATCCACGGAGTTCTTTGTTGAGCCAAGAGAAACTTACAGTGCAGTGACCCTCGGAATACCAGATGCATTGAAGGTACAATTAAGCCCATCCCAGGTATAAGATTTGGGAGAACATGGATCGCCTGCCCAATTGTTGTTCTTCACCTGATACCACTCCTTGATCGCCATCATGGCATGAACTGATGCAGTCGACGAGGTAGAGCAAAATAATCATGTGTTAGAGAAACAACCACAAGAAAAGCCAGTGCATTCCTGCAGACACCATGAACAGAGATGAAGATACAGATTACCATCTCCACCATCCGATGCCACGTTCGTGTTTCGCACCGTCGAGAAGACCTCCACCGCGTTGAGGAGGGGAGGAAGTGTGGAACTCTCTGTTGCGACCAGTGAGATGTTTAGCTCACTGTATCCTGCGCTAGGATTGATGTTATATATGGCGTCGGAAACGAGGAAGTCCGGAGTGAAAGGTTTGGCGTCATTCAACAGGGCTCCGTTGAGGTAGACGAAGAACTGCCTCGAGGCGTTCTGCTGCAGCTCGGCGAAGTACATGACGGCGTAGAATTCATCGAGGTCTCCAGGATCTGGTGTGAAACTGAGCTCCAGTTTGGTAGAGTTCGCAGGGAAAACTGCCGTCTGCATCACCTTGGAAGGTACCTCAAAGTGATCATTGCCAGGAGTTTCGACAGTGGAGTTGGTGGATATCTCATCCCAGGAAGGTTGGGTTGTATATTGGAACCAATAACGATCATACGGGTCCAATGGATACCTATTAATTCCATGCAAACAATAGTGTATGGAGAAGAAAACTTGGATCATACATCTCAACTGAAAATTCTCACCTGATAGAGATACCGGTCGGCGCCATGTTGAAGCGATCCAAAAGAACCAGACTGCGAGAGGCGTTGACCAGCGGATAATGAGACGCCGCCGTTGGTCTCAGATCCAACCCCGATATGAAAGGAGTCCCACGGCCGGTGTTCACCAGACACACCGATATCAGATCAGTGATGGCCTCGGTAACAGCTTCGGTCAAATAGTTACTTGATGGATCTGTCAGGTTTATCGTCTTCCAGAGGTTGACGCCGAGGTAGAGATCAAACTGAACGGAAGGACTGTTTTTGAGGTCGTAGTTCCCGTACAAGAATGTTGCTCTGATGAGGTACTTCCACCCCCGGACGATCGACTTGAAGGTGTAGCAATTGCGAGCTCCGTCAGGGAAGCTTCTCACCGTCAAAAATCGTTGAGCGAGAGCAGGGAAGGACGCCGGCGAGACGTTGTAGTTGACACCGGTGTCCGTATACTGTGCATCGGAGACGTAAGTTAGGCCCGAGACGTAGGAAGAGTTCTCCGGGATGCCGCAGTCGATGTTAATGAAACCTGCATCTAAGTGAGTATAACACTCAGATGGGAAGCACTGAGAATACACGCAGCGGATCATATCATCTCTTGGTTGGCCTCTGTTCTACCTGTCGTCTGTGCTCGAACTTGAACAGCGGCCACGAAGAAGAAGAAGAAGAAGAAGCACAGGAGCGCCATCTTCTTGGAGCTGAAGCATCTCATTCCAAAAATGGCCATTGCCCTTTCTTCCTCTGCAGAAGAGAATGTCGAGACAAAGCTCAGAGGGATGAAATCAACATACATATACTGGAGAACAAATGAACTACATTTTTATACATATAAAGGATAGAATTGCTCCAATAGAATATTACATGAAAAGATCGGAAAAGATACAGCCCACTACAAGACATACAATACGGTACAAGAAAAACGTTGCTAGAATAGAATCAATAGATCAGAATGGCATTAATATGCGGAAGAAAGTCAAACTATAGAACAGAGAGGATAAGTTTAAGAAAAGCTTCTCCTTGTCTTCTAATTCAGAAGGTCAAGTTCATGATACGAAGAAACAGATCAGCAGATCTCATCGTGTTACTCAAGAAATCGGGTGATTCTTGCCAGGCAAGAATTCCAGCCAACTGCAGGACAGCAATCACCTGCCACATTCTAGCATGTGGTTTCTTCCGAGTGCTCCCAGCAGACCAACATATCAACTCATTGACTCGTAGCAAGCACACAACTATTTTCAATCACGTCCGTGGAAACCAGCACGGATTATTAGTATTAGATATATGGGCTGAGAGAGGAATGAATGATTCACGATTGAAGCTTCTCAACTTGACTTCCCACGAGAAGACTACTAAATGGGCAGGTGGCTGTTTTGTGTTGCCTCTGTTCTCATTGTATGCTCTCTCTCTCTCTCTCTCTCTCTCTCACCTCTCTTTATATGTATATATATATAAAGTCATGAATGAATCCGGGATACCATCTGAGCTGCGAAGATAAGCCGAGGAGGACCACAGGGGAAACCTGCACATAAAGAGTCCCCTTTACCTCCTAAAACCACGGCTTAGTCTGTGATTGACCCTTAATTCAAGAGAAATATATATATAAATAAACAAATAAAGATACGTCCTACAATGCTATTTAGAAACATAAGAATAAAGATGCTATAGTGCAGAAGAAATTACTTGAACAGGAGACTGTTGCCATCATGGGAAGGAAAGGGCTGCTCATCAATTGATGAATAAAGAAAGACATGGATTTGAAGATTGTTTTGTTCTTTTGGAAGATGGTCATCCATGTCTGCTATTGTTGTTTTCTTCCTTTCTCCATCACCTGGCCTCCCTGAAAAAGATGTATAACGAGCAGACTTCGGCATTCCCAGTTTCATCACAGCCATTGCCACAGTCGAACCTCCCAAATCCAATACATCGCCATGCAAGGAAGCAGAGAAACTTTACCAAACAAGATCAGCATTCGCAATCGAGAACTACAAGTTCACAATAACTCTTCCTGTAAGCCATTGAAGGATGAGAAAATGAAAGCTGCCGTGACCACATGCCTTGGCATGAATATCCAATCCACAGAGAACTATTTATTATATTTGCATGAAATGACTTCAGCTGAATGTGCTCCATAGAGCCGAAGACATCCTATCATCTTTCCTGATCCAATAAAGTTGCATAGTCAACATATTTTTTGTTAGAGAACTGAAAATTATGAAGCACAAACAGTAGACTCAGCTAAAAGTGCCAATATCCAGAGCTTGATGACAGGATTACCAAAATTATTTAATTGCAGCATTAGATCGACCGGCATCTAACACCAGCTGAAACATCCATGAAAGGTTAACTTCTCGCTGTGAACATATTGTAATAGAGCTAAGCAAGATTTAATATGCAGCTGATTGATTCGGCAAATGTTCCACCAAACATCAAAATTCCAAGTTTTAATAAATATGGCAATTAAGATCATACATTCAGCTCATAAACAGGTCCAGACACTACATCAAACATGACTCTTGAGTTGAAAAAAAAAAGATGTAACAATTTACAATCAAGTTTCTGCTAAGTTAACGCCCTTTTGCACTAGCACTCGATAAGCAAGCTTTAACCCCCACACTACTTAATTTCTCAGAATTGCAGAAACCTTGTTAGTGATCTTAACAATATCTTCCAATCGCTTCTTGACCAACTCATTTAACTGCTCATCTTGTGTTGATTGGCTTCCCCCTTGATTGCCATCAATACCATCTGGTTCTCCACCATTTTGCGACCAGCATACAACAAATGTCATGTCATGGTCATAGTCATTTGGCACCTCGACAAGATGTTTCCTACTGTCCACGGCATCTTTATCAACTATGTCACTTTTAACACGATCTGAAACCCAGGCTCTGAAGTTTTCAGTACACTTGCTGTTCTCTTGATTGAGGTTTAGATAGATGAGGACCTCCCAGCATCTAAGGAACTGTTTCTTGTTGATCTTTAGCTTCTGTCGTGCAATTTCCATCACACTTGCCGGTGGGCAGGAGCTTGACCTGCAAATCCGCTTTGATAGGTTCCCTTCCTTCAAGCATGAAACAACTGAATTAATGGCTGGCTTTATCGGCTGAAAGCACAGCAAACGCTTGGTGTCAATGCAAGCACGAAGATACTGAAGGTAGTCTGAAGGCTCTTCAGCAGTCACATCATATATGTTTTCAGATACTGCAACAGAATACACAGACTCTAAGAGATGGCGTCCATGGCCTTGACCCTGGTAAGGGGGCAATACTAAGATCTGGAAACAGAACAAACAAAATGAATCAGAAAATCATCCCAAAACTAGCAGGTAGACTACTGTAATATTGTAGCTAAAAGATAGATGGCCAGCTGTTTCTACGATGCCACGTTTAAATCTCACAGCAACACTTTCAGGAAGCATCAACACTCCTTGGTATATAAATTGGTGGACAAGTCTAAGGTGGATGTTCCTAGTGCAGCATGAATGATATAGTACATAGAATTGCCAACAATGGGTATATCTGGTATCTATTCTTTTATAACAATGGCAAAGCTTAGATATAACAAGGCAGTATAGTTCCAAAAGCCCCAAAAATATGGAACTACAACCAGAGAATATTGAATTAAACCTGGCCAATCCGTAAACGTGTACTGTCTGGGTAATGAAAGAAGCGATAAACAGTGGCAAAACCAAGCACATTGGTTATACAATCACCCAGAGGATCTTGGACCTTCTTCACAACCAAAAAGATTTCCCATCTTGGATCAGTTACATCGATTGGACTGCCACCTAACAATTGGCACAACATATGAGTACCGAAATTTGATAAGAGTCATAAATGGAAGATTTTATTAGATAACATTCACACAAGAGGTACCATCAACAAGAAGCAGTACAAGAGGAACCAGTCGACTATAAAGTAAACAAACAGGCTCACTGTCCTGTTTCATCCGGATAACCTGATACAAAGAGAAAGAAATTACAGACCATATGTAAAATCTCTAGAAATTTGAAAAAAGAATATTTTGATTTATGTTGATGCTGGAGAACAGCAAGAAAAAAAAAAAGGCAAATATGTGTTGTTTGAACTTCCGCAAGTAAGTCATAAAGCAAATGTTAGAATCCTTTTTCTAGCATCTCAAATAAAAATACTGCATTTTAAAGTACATTTCAGACAGGTGACATGGAACATTAGTGTATAGATTAAATGTTAATCAGCAGATTTTTTAAAATAAGTTCAGATCTTGTAAGATTACAGTGACCAAGTTATAAATGCAATGCAATAGTACCTCAATCATTGAACCATCAGCTTCAGAATTTGAATTAGATGCATGATCATCCTCCTTTGAGGTTTTACAAGGAACAACTGCACCATCGGATACGATATTTCTGATATCCAGAAGAACACAGATAATAAATAGAAGAACAATGCTACAAAATTTATTTGAAGTTGGAAGAAAGAAAGCTATTGAGAAATTTGATTGAATTCAAACCTAATGAAATTACGCTCTGTTGAAAATGTTTGAAGAAATTGTTCTTTCTCAGTCAATAATTCACCAAATATATCCTACAGAAAGAGTAAACATCCATCATGTTAAAAAAAGTAGAATTCAGACAAGAACAAAAAATTGTCATGCAAGTAAACCCGAATTACCTGAAGAGCTGGCTCAAGATCAGTGATCCCTTTTCCACCCTGAAACAATTTACAGTATCTAGTTTCAGATGACTTAGAAAGACGATAGAGATAACAAATGAGTACTCAAATTGAAATATCAGTGACTGTGATTTTGCATCAGCCAAAACAACACAAAACGAAAGAGTAATATTTTGAGCTTCTTTTATGAAAGTTAATAAAACACTGACAATAATCCAGTAATCATAAAAAGTATATTATCACAACAAGCAACAATATTTCAAGAATTTTGTTTTTAGAAAGTTTAGACCCACATCTGACACGTTCTCAGAGCTCCAGATAAACATTCTCAGAGTAAGCATAATGCCTCAAATATGCCATGGTTTACAGTGATTGCAATTTAGGTGATGACACTTACGTCGCTGGTGCTCTCAAATGTAATCTCAGAGTAAGCATGAAATGACACTGTACTCAACCAAATGTTAACCTGCACTGAGATGGACTACTGTTAGATTTGCATATTAATAAAATAAAAGAGAAAACATAATTTCAGTAACAGATGCCATTTACATTACGATGCATTGCAATTTGGTTAGGGAGTAAAATAAAACTTTATTAGAGCTACTAGTAACATTGGATTGCTAAATTAGAACTTTCAGGTTTTATAAATCTTTTTCTACAAGAAAAAGATAAAGTCAAAACATACCAACTACTTTGTTAAACCTAAATTTTTTAGATGTCATCATTATTTTTCCAACAGATCATAAGAGAAGCAATAATTAAGCAAGAAAAAATTCTTGAAAAAAGTTAATTGACATAATTGCATCGAACAACCATATATAGAGGAACAACATTGGTAGAAATCTGCCAATTCATTCTCGTTATAAAAGAAAAGCAGAAGAAACATTGGCAGAAATCTTTTACACGTGTTCTTTTCATCAATGTGTATGTCCACAGATCTTCCTACATTATCCCCATAATTTCAACACAGATGATAAACAAATTGAATGATGGTAGCACTTAATTGTAGATGTAAGTGCATAGATAGAAACCATCAAAAGATTTCTGAAACACAAAACGTCAGCATTAGTGAAATAGATCAAATTGGCCATTAACTTAATAAACAGGAACCATAAAATATTTAAACATCTGACTTAGCATTATAAATTTGTTGTTCATATTAAAGGAGCAATTTATTCATTACCATAATAAGCTGTAGTGGCAAAAAAAAATCATAGCACCATTAAAAAATACCAAGTAAATTGGAAACCTTATCAGTTTGACATGTCTGCACTAGGGATAACACTGAGATTTCAGACCATTTTAAAACTGTGGCTTATCTTAGCAACTTGTTTAAATGGCAACAAGTAAATCGGCATCCTTATGTATTTTTGACAGGTCTAAATATTAGGTATAAAACTAAGAATTAAAAGCATTTTGAAACTATGGCTTACCCTTAAGCCTTTATAGCCGTATATCTTCCCATCTTCACCAAAAAACTGATTAAGGTCAACTGGATTGATACAAAAACTGTTTGTTGATCCCACTTCATCTCCACTTTTTACTGCAGTCAAACAAATACATGAACATAACATATGAAGGTAGTAGCAAATTAAAAGAATAATAGTAAACAAGCAAATCTTCAAAGAGCAAAAGTAATAAAGCATCCAAGAACATAATTAAGTGTCATACACAGGCAATGTCAGTCTTTTTGCTATGATCCTAGGGTACCAACTTTCTTCGTACCAGTTGAAGTACCCAAAGCTTTTTTGCAGTCTACTGGAATATATTATGTAGATAGACACCCTCCAATCTTGGAACACTTCCTGCCAATTTGGTGATTTCCAAAATACTCATCTTCCTTACTTTTGTCTTGCTGACTTTCTTAGCTTTACAATATCAAGAAAATTGATGAATGAAGAAAGTTTATTTTGGAACGAAGAGAATTTTACATGGCTGTCAGTCTCTTGTTAACTAGAGAGCGGACCATAAACCTAAAAAGGATGATCACTTGGGTGGTGAGGATCTCCAAGACAGAGACATGCACTTAATAGCAATCGAGATTCACAACATGTTGTCATAAGGCAACTTATGACATTTGCAAAAATACACCGTAAGTTCTTAAATTTAGGTTGATTATCTACCTACCCAGTACCCAATAACAAATATCAAACATCACAGGGAAACAAATTTGAAAGCTATGTTTCCAATGCAGTTGGCATTTTTTGACCATGGATAACTGACTATAGAACTTCACCATTAACTTAAAACCAGAACTAAAGGCAATGTTGAAAAGGAACAGAGATCCAATCACGATGTGCACAAATGGTCAAGGATATATGTTATATATTTCTCTAGCTTTGTGTGCATAATATCTAGCATTTCAACGTCTCCACCAGCACTGGCTGCACTCAAGCCAAAAGTTCTGATGCCTGCTAGTTTTTATCATTAAAGAGGTTCCACAATGTTCAAAGATCCTGTGATGATATGCACGAGAAACTTTTACTTCGAAGACAGAAAGCACCAGCACAAAGTCAAAACTCCAGAACTCTGAGCTCAGGACATCTTAGTGCCTCATTACACTACAAGATGCAAAAAACAAAATAATAATTCTTTATGCCTGGAAACATATATTGGTCTAGGTTACGACTTATAAGAAATCCAACAGTGACTTTACCCGATCCTCAATGTCACATTCATGAAATTTGAGGGTCATTTTGTTGACAATCAAACATGCTAAGATTCACTTCAACAACCAAACAAGAAAATGATGCTAGGAAATTAAAATCTTGATCTGATACGACAAATATCATCTTTAAGCCTAGCTCACCTGGGAGGTATCTCTGATTTTAAATAACTGTATTGTGTTTTCCAATTCCCCATGGGACTAAATAAATGCTTGCCTCAATCTTCTGCAGCATTTTTTATGTTTTAATGGTTCATAAACAAAACAAATTACTGCTAGCTGATCTTATTCTATACCATCCTCCATGGGCTTTGTGGGGTTTATATAAACTAAATGAATCGTGCATCGGACAGTGATCTTGGTTGACCTTTCAATAGGCACTGTGCCTAAGCATCAGGAAAACAAAAGATAAACGTCATACAGCACAGATTCCAAATATGGGGTTCATGTACATCGTTTTCCGATTACCAATAGAGAAAAGGCAGATATGTCAACATTTTCTCTTGTTATGCTTATTGTTACCTGATTACAAAAAGTAACCATGCAGAAAAAACAGCATTCAAACAACCAATCAATTGAAAACCAGGACATCATTATAATTACATACCCAAGAGGGACATCTGACAATCTCCAGAAAAATTATTTCTGGTCTGACAACAAAAGACTGCAGATAGAAAACAAGGAACAAAATAGAACTCTTACCAAGGAAAACTTTAATGCACTCGCTTGCCTCAACTCCAGTATCTGTAGTGTAATAAAAAAAGTTATGAAACGGCTTCATAGGAGCTGTCAGATAGTATCCATGAGAGTGCAGTTCAATAGTTGGCATGAAACATCAAATTTATTTATCTTCTGGGCAAGTTTTATAGATGTGAAGCAAACTGAAGATAAAAAAAGATAATAGCCATAACAAGAGTAATCTACTCTTATAAGCAAAAAAAAAAGCTACTGGTGTGCCTCATGTGTTTCTTTTGCTGCTTGATCAAGAATGTCACTCCATATTATAGAAGAAATTGTTCACTGATGACAGCATCATCTATAAATCATCTAAACAGTCATATGCATGCTATGTTTGGCATAAGAAATTCTCAAATCCTTGGTGTGTTTGATCCTAACAGTCTTTCAGAACCTTGAGTGTTGATGCAATTGCAGACAAGGAGAGCACGATCTTCTGTTAGGTCATTTTGGGATAAGTTTTAAGCACCTTGTTTGTATCCCACGTGGTCAAAACTTAAATTAAAAAAGGAAATTTTACCAAAATGTTGCATTATGAAAAATGAATATTGTAAAAAAAAACTTGGCCTATTCCATAAGCGATTCAGCTTACACAAAGCAGCCACAATTAAGATGAACCAAGTCACGCGGAAAAAGAAAAGGACACAAAAAGAGAGACAAGAAAATAAAAGTAGGCCTTTTTCAAGAAAGGGTAAGGGCCTTAACTAAGCAAGACCAGAGTTTAAAGCATCAAACGGAAAAAGGCCGGAAATTTGATGTCCAAGAGCATTTCCGCCACCTGAATCATACAGAAATCCCCACCTATCTAGATCAAGATGACAACAAAGAAAATATACGATAACCCCCCAAAAAATGAGGACTTATCCAAGAAATCCAGAAAAATAAGGTGAAACCGCTACATCCTTGCAAAATAAAAAAGGACGTGAAAACACTTCAAGCGGTATACGGACTTCTATACGACACACGAAAAGAAATAAAGGAAAGCTAGAAGATGGCGCCAGATCTACAGGTGAAGCCGATTACAGAAAGTTAACGCAACCTCCACCAGGTGAATTACCAATATTGGCGAAACCGACACGCCTCCGCTTCTTGGCTTCCGCCGAAATCTCGCCGCCCTTCTGTTTGAGCGCCATTCTTTTCCTCCCAGGGTCCTCGCAGGAAGGCAAATCCTAGATCAGCGCGGGGTTGAAGACGCTTGTGGGAGCTTTAAGCGATCACGAAGAAACCCTACGGAGGAGAGTGCGCCTAGGGTTCTCGGACTGACCCGAAAAAAAGAGGGGGGAAAGAGGAGAGAAGCGGGAAATTGGAGCAACGTTTTATATTCCAACGGTGCCCTCGAAGGTAGAATCCGGCCCACGAAGCGCGGCGCCTCACCGTACTGTTATCGGGTCGGATCCTACCGGGCCTTAGTGTTGCGCTTCATCGTATTACAAACTAATTGGATGCCATAAAGCAGTTTATTATATCAATCATTCTTCGAATGGGCCGAGCTTCCACCACGTCACCCTTAGATCCGGAACAGATGGTCCCTGATCAACCATCAGGTCTTTTCGATGGTCCACACGTATGACTCGCGCGTGCTTTTTTTTATCGTACTCCAGCTATCTGAACCGTCGAATGATCTCTTTGATCGAAACTCTTCTTGTGATTATTGAAGGAGAGCGAGTTAATTAGAGTGTTCCAAGGAAGGGGGCTTGGTTTGGGAGGGAACGGTGTTTTACGTGCCGCTTTGGCGGCTGCCGTTCTCGTCCTTCGGCGCTGGACCCGTCTTGCCGCGTGAAGCGTGATATTTGTTCTCCTTTTCCTGACGTTCTCCCGAGGAATCGGCGGATTCGACCACCGTAATTAGATTCCCTTCCGTCGGAGCTCCCGATCGAGGTACCTTTTGCTTGTATCGATTGAAATCGCAGTTTCGAATGCGGTATTTGTCCTGCCAGAACGTATTCAAAGGATGCTTTCCCCAATCGGCGTTCGATTTGAGCGATTGTAGAGCGTCTGTAGGGGATTGCCACTTTGATACCTCAATCCGAGTGGAGCTGAGGAGGGACTCTAGTTTGGGTGCACGATGAGAATTAAGGAGTCGGAAGATGGAGGATCCGAGGATTCTGGCTGCAGGAGGTCGGATTCTTTTCTGTCCCTCACTTGTATGCAATGTCGTCGGAACAGGACGCAAGCTGAGTTCCGATTGTGGGATGAGATCGTCAGGTACCTCTTTTCTTTTCTTGAAATTGTATATAGCATCTTGATTTTGATTCACAGATTCATTACGCTGAGGTAACTACAGTGGCCAAAATTTGGTTATCTTTGCACACGATCGGCAGTAATGAACCCGAAATGCTTAGCTCTGCTGGGTCATGCTGTGAGTTTTGGGCTTTTACATTTGAAGGATCCTAATATGCTGACCTTTTGAAACACAATGTAGGTTTGCTCTTTGAGTTTTCAGTTTACACTCTTGGGTGCTGTACCATCTCCAAATATGTCCCTCGTTTGCACCAGCTTGGAATTCGAGAAGTCATTAGTTCGAATGAACCATAAGAAACTTCGGCTCCATCAGACATACGGTAAAAATTGCCTATTCATCATATCTAGATATGGTAAAATTTTTATTTTTGGATGGTACAGTTCTCTTAAGGTTCATTCTTTTGTTCAGATATTTTCTTTTTTTTCTTTTCTTTTTTGTCTGATATATATTTGATCATTCTAATCATCCGAAAAATCCTTTCATGTAAGTAGGACCACCACTATTAAGGACTTTTAGGACTAACATTAGAACTGAAAAAGTTATGCTGTTGCCAAAAGAAACCAAGATTTGCATTCACAAAACTATATTACAAACAATTCAGTAATACCCAGAAGCCATATGTCAAAGTTGAATCTTTTACCCATGTTTCACTGATTAATGTTCATAATTCAAAATCCAAAGCTATGCATGTTCTGCAGTAAGTTCTGCATCTGCAAGTGCATAATAAGAAATTTAATAGACTTGTTTTGGGAATTAACTGGTGTTAAGAAAATCCTGACACTATATCATGCTGTCTCATTGAAGGTAAACTTTATTGAGTAATGCAGTAGGTTTATAAAACAAGTTATATGCTCGTTCTTTAAATTAAGACTTTCTATGAAGTGTTTTCATTCAAATGTGGCAAAACTCTTGTTTCCTTTTCTTTTCATTCAGGTTCATGGGGACAATCACCTATAAATTCCTACAGAGATTATCCTTTTGCTCCTTCACTTGTGGATATATGCCAAGCTGTTGATTTCATCAATGATAAGGATTTGTCTTGATCCCTATCTCCATTACAAGTAAATTCACATTGATAAAGGAGGGGGGGTTGGTTCATGTCCTTAATTAAACATTAAATTTTCAATGCGGACTGTAGGATCACTACATGTTCAAGGCTTCTTTAGCATTTTGAAACTTTTGAAGTGTACAATATGTTATATTTTATGGCTCTTGCCAGATACATTCTAATAGCACAACCACCGTATTTCTTCAGTTCACATAAAGTGGTTTAGTTTTGGAAGAAGCTACTATTTCCTAATAGTGGTCAAATAAGAAAAGAAAATTATGAAGATGTGAAGTTTCCTATGGTTCCATCAAGATGACATTTAATTTATTTTTTCTTAAGTATGAAGTTAATGCATTTTTCAAGGTGATTTGAATGTTTGTTTCCATGGGTCTCGCAGTGCAACATGATCATTGAGAGGCTTGGCGATTGTCTAGTCGATCACGGTTCCTAAGTTTCATATTCGTATTGCTGCATTTTTTTCCCTCTTCCAGTTAGGTTTTCAATCACAAACATGAGCTTGTAACCGCCTTCCAGTGACCACTGTGTGCATCTAAATTGGAGTTATGTGAACACTACTATCTTGGGACTCTTTCTAGTCATCAGTTTATGACTGCATGACCTGCTTACAACAATTTTAAATCTCTTCCTGGAATTTGCATATCGATCTTGTTACATTAATCATGTGCCCGCATTGTTTTGCCTTTGGATAGAATGCCTGGTTGTTCTTCTGGGAACAGTAGTTGTGCTAGCTTTCTTGAGTGACACTGTTTCTGTTCTCCAACATGAGCCCTTCTTGATGGCCAGCCCAACTGCCCTCCTCAGTTCAAGCCCAATATTTACTCTGTTGTGCTTTTCTCGTCTGTGAGACTTGAGGGGCTAAGAACGGCTCCCCAGATTAAAGTATATACATGTATATGCTATTTATAATTCAATTAAATGCCATTAGGTAGAGGGTATCTGTGTTCATATACATATACATGTGTACATCTGCCAAAGCTGCTCAATGCTTAACTCTTTCATTGATACAGGATCTAGGAGGGCAGCATCACCTTTTAGAAGCAAAGACTGTGTTTGTGGCCAGCTTATTGAAGTTGGAAGTTGAGTAAGGCTCATCCTCTATTTATGTGTTACTTGGTCAAATTTTAGACTTTATCATGCTAAAATAACTTAGGGTTAATGTCGTAATGTTCCCGATCTGATTAGTTACATGGCAACAGGTCATGAGGTCCATCGTCCATCATCGGCATCAGGATCTTAAAGGCCCTAAAATGATTTCCACTTGCTGAGTCTTGTGGGCGTCGCCAATGATTTCACGAGCCATGGAACCAAGCACATGCACCATGGAGGGGACGTACGCTTGCACATGCCCTGCGCAGCCGCTTCTCCAGGAGACCAAAATCCACGTCCGTCGGCGCCACGGCAAGCAACAGGGAGACCTCCATCGGAAGCATGTGTATGATTGATTACCTGAGTGAAGCCAGGGGTTGGGGAGTTACATGTGCAAATGAGTTGGACGTCGGACGCACTCACATGGGATGCACCCGTGCCACCTTTTCTTGGACCACGGACAACACTAATTTATGTCATCTTCGGTCGGCCCAAGTGACATCGGATTCCATGGGGAGTGAGTTGAAAGGCATTGGACTGCGACTAGAAATTGCAACCAGTGGAAAGACTTTGCATCTTTGTCAGAGAGCAGGGCAAGGGAACAGGGTCAGAGGATCGATCCTCCAGTTATTTTTGTCAGTCAGAAAGGTGGATCTCACGAGGGATTTCTTTGTCCTTTTCTTCACGTAAGAAGACATTTTCTTGATCAGGTCGACTCTCTTTAAGCAGAACACACAAGATATGGGATGAGCTTTGGATACAAGTGATGTGCAAGTAGGAATCACTATGCAAAAAGGAATCCCATGATGCAGTAAGTTCTAAGACCTGGATAGCTGGTTGAAAGACAACTTCAGTTGGTGTACATGCATGCAGTGTAAGGAAAGTATTCTTCAGACTTAGAGTACATATGATGGTGGAGATGGAGAAGTAATGCTGACAGTACTGCTGTGGAGACACTAACTTGACTTGCAGCCAATTAGATGTATTATGAAAAGCTGTTATCTGGATAAATTGTGTCTAATCCTTTTCCTGATGTGATACTGTGTGTCCTCAGAAAGAACATATTCACATCAAACAGCTCATAGCTTCATGCTATGTCATGTATGGCGCATGCAGATCTGCATTTTGTCCTCAAGATTATTTTTCTAGATCAGAACATCCAAAAGGCCAAGCCTTGCTTAAACTTGTTTGGATTAGATTCTAAAGCTTATTCATTTTGCAAGTGAAAACTCAACTTGTGCATCTTGTTGAACTTTTAGTAAATGCAAGTGTGCTGTAGTACTGCCATTTTGCTTCTACATTTACTCTCTATAAGTAAAAGAAGACATCAATACTGTTAAGGTTAAGAGGGTACAACCACCAAAACTTCTCACATACTACTGCTGCAATGATTGGCTTGAGAATTCTTATCAAGAGTGAAAAGATATTTGCAGCGGATATTTTGGGTGGCATTCTGATAAGGAAAACTTGAGAAATATCAAATATTGAGGAATAGTTGGAAGACAGAAAAAGTAGCAATAACATTATCTCAGCCAATCCTGTGAGATTACACATTAGGCACATTTTGATAACACGCCCAGAGTCCACAGCCACGACAGCACCGACGTGGAGCTTAAAAACCGATGTGGCGGACCACGTCGGTGCAACGCCTCGGACTTAGCCGACTCAGCCATCCTCCCGCACGGTATAGGACCGTGCAAGATACGTTGTCGGTTGTCGGGTACGAGGCTACCCCCGAAAAGCTCGGGACGATATTGTCAGGTACAAAACTGTCCCAGAAAGCTTGGGATGGTACCGCTCAATACCGTTCCGTACAAGTCGATCGACGTCCGCACGAAAGATATGGGCTAGGCTGCCTAAGGGGTCGACGACAATTAACGAACTAAGTACAACCGACCCCTATGTGCTGGTATAAAAGCTTACCACATAATCGACATAT